TTCGTATATATTAAAAATATTACTTCTTGTTATAAATAATGGAAATTGTTTAAAATATTCTGATAAATTAATTTTGATTTTAGAAAAAAAAAAAAAAAAAAAAACTCATTAGTGTACAGAAAACTTTTTAAAAATTAAAATGAGAAGGGAAAAACATTCCTGGCTTAAAAAAACATATGCGGCAGTTTTACGCTAATAGATCAATCATTTTCATTACTATGCATGCTTTAGATAATTACCTAAAACAAAGCAAAAAGTGTCAAGGTTTTAATTTAAGAAAAAATGTTACTTACATTAAAGCATATGACCGATTTTTTTTTAAATTGATTTATGTCATTTAACTTCTACAAGAAATAATTTTATTAAAGTAAAAAAAAATGGTTTTATGATACTTATCATGATCTCATTTCGTATTCTGATACTCATTATAACTAGTTTATTACATATGAGAAAAAGCATACCATGAAGTATGTGACAGGACGCTTGAATATGAAATTAGGTATTATTTTAAATATATATTTATGACTAATTATATAAACATTTAAATTACGACGTTTTAAAAATACGTGCGATTGCTATATGAAACTGTAAATTAAAAACAGTTCTATTATTTATTTTAAAGGTTCAAATAAGTTTCGATGACTGTTATTTATTTCTTAGTATAATAGCGTTATTTTGTGGCTGTAAAAAGCCCTTTGTAATTAACCTAGCAAGAATTAGTAATGCAACGAATTTTTTTAAAAGATAATTTAGATTTATGAGACAATTCAAAACATCTGTGGTTTTTTACAACCTAAGCAAGACGTTTTTTCGACAAAATTATTATTATTTATTTATTTATTTTGTAAGGTACTTGTAAGTTGAATCAAATTTTAAGCAATACGGTAATTTCTATTTGCTGAGATTATGTCCAATTCGATACATTAACTTTTTGTGACCAGCTTTAACAAAGAATTTTGAATTTAGATGCTTATTTTTCTTGTAGAGATATTAGGTTATTTCGAAGCAGCAGATATGAAAAATGTGCAATACCCTTGTCACGACTCGAACCTCGAACTTCTCGAATACGCGCCGAGTGTGCTGACCATTACACCACGACGACATGCTATAAAGGCGGAAGAAATACCTTATATATTTCTCCTTTTAGAGGTTGACTGGGGATTAAGAGACTCAATCGCCAAATATTGGTGGTGGAAAATCATCATCCACCAACCGTTTAGTTCGGGCGCCACTGTAGTGACATTAGGTTACTTTAGTGCTGGAGATGTGAAAAATGAGCAATGCCCTCGACGGGACTTGGACCTCTCTAATACGCGCTGAGTGTGCTGACCATTGCACTACGAAAGCATACTAAGAAGGCGGGAGAAATAACTTATAGCCTTTGTACACTAAAAGCAAATTAACAGATTGATTAAAAAAAGAAAAGAATGTGCTGTGAAATCATTAAATGATTTAAGCTTTTGAAATACATATAAATGAGTCTTAGTGAAAATTTTTTGCTGAATACATTAATAACGTACAGAATTGAGTCAATTTAGTATGGTAACCGAACATAAGAATAATATCTGCTAGAAAAGTAAGTCTGTGATGAACCATGCAGTGATTGGCGTAAGGTCACCCACTGTCAGACGTATGAAGTGACGTATTAAGTATTAGAGACGTCATCAATCTATCAGTATGAAAGCAACTAGTACTGTTGACAAATTGCAGCTAAAATGCAAAATGCAAAAATGCCCCAGCTGTCCGTTTGAATACATCAAATCACCCGAGAGTTAAATTTCGTCTTGAATTTCACTTAACATTTTTCACATTAATTTTTAATTTATTACTACCCCCAAACTCAAACACGAATTTGCTCTGTTTCACTCATCATTCGAGTCTGTTGCCATTCGGGAAAATTAATATGTTTATCGTTCAAATATAATCTGCCTGTTATTTATTGACAGACTAAGCTGTTTAAAAGCAATAATGCAGCTAAGAATTTCGTTTTTCATTTTCGCCAATTCCTTGCCAGTGTGGCTTAATTTACATTGGCCAAACTAAGAGAGCCTTAAAATTTCGCGTTAACGAACATGAGGCATATGTTAGAAAAAAGGAAACACAGAAGTCATCTGTTGCCCAACATTGTTACTCCGAAAATCACACTTTCAATTTTTTCTGCTGCCAAAATTATTCAAAGAAACATCTTCCATTGGTGAACTGGATTTTCTAGAGCCATTTCATATTAAAAAAATCTTTTCTAGTTAACGACCCTAATTCCAATCCGTCTTTGCCTTCAGCCTTTAAAGAAATTATGTTTTACCTCTGGTTTCATCAATAGATGGCGCCAGTGGCTCATCTCCTGTCCAGGCCACTGGCGCCATCTTATCTTATCTAATCGTTATATCTTATCTAATAATTATATCTTATCTCGTTCATTTGCACTTTTGCAGCTGAGGCTGATTCGGTAAAACCATCGAAACTAGTCCTATGAAAATTTGAAAATATAACGCTTATTTTTGTTGTTTGACTTCTGAATTAAATGTCATATCTTTATGGTATTTGTGTAATAATTAAAATAACTATAAGAATAATTATATTAAAAATTAAATAATATTTTTTTAATTATTAAAATTGGTTTTTATACTTTCCTGCAGGACAAGAACAATCATTTTCAAATAAAAAAAATGTAACAAAAACATAGTTTAATCTGGTTAGAAATTAACTTTATAGAGACATTGGGATTTTTTTGGAGGCCGTAGAGATGATAAATTAGCAATTGCTTTCGCCGGGAATCGAACCACGGACCTCTGGAATACCGGCCCAGCGTGCAGAACCACTACACCACGCTAGAAAAGCGGAAGAGATACCTTATATACTCCCATTTTTAAAGAGCGACTGGGGTTTCTAGGGGACCCAATCGCCAAATCCTGGGTGCGGAGAATCTTCATCCAACACCCTTTTAGTTCGGGCGCCACTATAGAGACATTAGTTTTCTTTTGGAGGCCGGAGAGATGATAAATTAGCAACTGCCTTCGCCGAGAATCAAACCACGGACCCAGCGTGCAGAACCACTACACCACAAGGACACGCTAGGAAAGCGGGAGAAATACCTTATAACTTTTATAAACTATTTCGATTACTTATGTTCCTTTATAATAATAATACAATTTTTTATAGAATTTTGATACTTACTTATGACTTCTTATTTATTGGTTACTAATTAAAGTAATGTAAAATACGCTGCGGGAATTTATCATTATTTTTACATTATCTTGTTCGATTGCATCTAAACGTAAGTACCTGCTTGTCTGAGCATGCTTTTTTCTTTTTCTTTTTACACTCTTTATCAAGAACACTAAGTTTTTTTTCTATTTTTTATTTATTTATTTATTTATTTATTTATTTTTATGTATGTGACACTTGTAATCAGTTTCTCTATAAGTGAATCTATAGATGCAAGAGTTTTTTTCTTTATAAGGATATGTGATGCTGTTATCAGATGAAAATAAAATACTGCTGATGTTCTGAGATTAGCAATGCCAAAACATTTGCAACTGAAATAATTCTACCCAAATTTAAGAATGCCATAACTGCATTTTAAAAAACATAAATGAATTTCAAGAAATTTGTGAAATGTCTAAATAATAGTCATATATTTATTCAATATAAAGCGAGGCGGATGGCACTGACTTTGGAACTTGGTATTTAACCATAAAAATTTTAATTAAAGCTTTGAAGCTCTCCAAAGCTAAAAACTGATCTATGTTTTTTAATAGTAAACCACTGCAGGAAGCTAAGTATTATTAAGCACTAACTTTGAAATCTGGATGACTGAATCTATTTCTGAGTTTATTCCCTTTAGTATTTCCTATTTATTACGTTCACACTATTTCCTTATGCATGAAAATTTAAGTGTTGGTGTATTCCTATTTCATTGCGTCCTATCATACGTAAAAATACCAGTTGCAGCAGTTTCCAGAATTAATAGTGAATAAAAATGTTACTGATGATATCAATGAAATACATGTAATTTTAATCGATTTTAATGTAGTGCGTACGTAAAATTAACCCTTCTTGTCTATTTTTCCCTTTTGAAATATTAGACTGTTTAGAATATTTTATAAATGATCTTCATCTCAAAGCTTGTGCGGTTTTCTTTCGTTAGTAACAGTTTTTCCCAGTGCAATACTTCAGCTGGTAAAGAAAGAGCACTTTCTTTAAGAATTTTAAATTGTTGGGAATAATAATATACTTTACTCTTTATTTTTACAGCTGTATGTTAATGATTTAACAGTGATCATTTTGAAATGTCGGAGTTACTTTTATACAAATTCCTCGCACCTAAAATACCATCAGCGAAAGGTAGCCTATTGAAAAACAAGAACTTTTCGTTTTATTTCTCTGTCACACAATGAACTTCTGACTGCATATTTTAAGATGCTACTTAGTGTTACTTCCAGTAATCGTCACTGTCTCTCAGCTTATCCATCAACTTATCCATCAGAATTTGCTTAGGATTGCGTCTAATAATTTATGTATGTGTCTCAAAACCAGATTAAATGTTGCACAAACATGTATAGTTCAGAGTCTTCTCTAGTGTGAAAGATTGAAGAATTTGCAATGAGGTACGAAACCCACGTGGGAAAAAAACTGATAAGAAACTAACTGGCAGTCCATCATGTAATATGAATGAATAAGTCTTATTCAATTTATATCTTTTATTCAAGCATAGTGTTCAAATTATCATAATCAGTTGTATAGTTAATTTAGATAATATAAGAATATAATAATAAATGCATGATGATTATTCCAGTACGAAAGAATTTCGTTTCTAGAAAAATAATATAAATGGTATATATTATTATATAATTATTCGAAAATGGTACATATTAGTGCATTAAGTTTTCTGATAATGAGAGCTTAGAACTGTACCTGTCTTCCTCACTTCTAAAATAAGTCTGGTTTCCTAGTATTATCAATTTATATTAATTTCTGGTTTGAAATTACTTTAATTTTAGGACCCCCTGACCCTTTACAAAACTGCTCCTTACTTAGCCATTCTTCAACCGCTCTTACTATCAACTGCACTCCTGGCATTGAAGATGGCGGTTTAAAGCCGAGGTTTCATCTGGTTGCTGTAAGTCTGCACGATCCGAAAGATCACGCCAACGTCAGCATTGTAAGCGATCAGCCAGTGTTTGCTGTCAGGGGTCTTGATCCTGGTACTACATATGAGTTGATAATGTTCGCATCTAATTCTAAAGGTCGTAGTACTACCACTCAAATAATGGCCACAACACTGTACGCTGCTGAAAGAAGGACAGGTTAGTTAGTTCAATTGGCTATCAGTGAGTCATCTGAAGCATTATAGACAAGAATTAAGAAGTAGGTTACCTTTTTCAAGGACAATATGCTTGTCTTCATTATTTAGCAGTTACACATCTTCATTTATTGTGTTGCAGGTATTAAGAATATCAATTTAATTTAAATTAGGGTTTAAGAACTTAATACAAAATACATTTATGCTCTAAGTATTAGAGATACTGTGCAGGTTGAATCCGATAAGAAAAAAAGAATATCTTAATAAATTCTACAATAGTGTATGAATTACCACATATTTCAGCATTAAGGCTAAAGTTTTAGGTGCCAGGTTTAAATGCTGTATCTTCTACGAAAGTTATAACAAGCGAAAATGTATGCTTTGAAGCTTTTGCACCACAATTAATTCAAGAGAGTAACATTTTAGCATTCACTTTCATCTAGTAAATAAATAAACTCTAGTCATGATTTGTGGATCTGTAACATTTTTGCACGCGTTTTTATTAATAATTGAAGAGAAGATTTAAATCTAAATTTCCAAAACACACAATTGTCATATACAACAAACAGTTTTAAAGGAGTGTTTTCCCCAAGTTTACGTCATTAACATTCGCCTATTTTTCTTAATATTTCAGGCCCTGTCGTAAATTAAATTCAGATATGGAGATGAGAGCACCAAACTAATAAAGTTTTTGAAAACTAGAGAAAATTGTTATACAAATATTTATTAATCTGAATACCAACAAAATAAGGATTACTTTTCTGTTTAAAATATAAAACATACATAGGGTTTTAGAGTAAAAGTAAGGTAATTCCTATTCACAATAAGTTAAATATAGTATAATCAAGAGTGTTAAGTAACAAACCTCCGATGCTTCAGTGCCTCAATTCACAAATTCTGCCTGTAGATTCATAACTGTATTCAATATGAAACACCTCTACTTCTTTTTCATAGAAATAAGTTCACCCGTTTATGACAAGAAGGGATTTTAAATACACATAATATATCGCTTCATTTTAATGAAAGTAACATGTATTGAAAATAGTGAAGATGTTGACTGAGAACAGCATAAGAAAATATTGCTGTGTTTTTACCAAGTAATTCAAGTTGCATGAACGTAGGACCTGACAACTGGAAAGTAGAGCAGAACTTAATTGTAAAACGAGCAATCTGAACATCTTCCAAAATCAAAAGGATGGTGAAAATTTATAAGCACATGGAAATTAAGTTACATACATGGAAATTAAGTTAATGTTAGTCTTTATATGGAAATAAAAAAAAAGCGGAGCAACTACATCCCAAGCTAGTTGCTCCTATTTGAAGTACTGAAATAAAAGAAAAAAGTAGGAAACATATACTACGTTTTCAGGCTCGAGTGAAGAACAGATTTAGAAATTTTAAAAAATGTACAGTTCCTAGATTTAGAAATAATAAAATACTAATTGTTGATGCCTGAGTATAGTTAACGCATTCGATATACGTTTAGGTTTGATCGGATTATTACAGTCATAGAAAAGAATAAATTTACTTACACTGCAATTCTAGGAGAATGCAAAAGCAATGTTCCTTTCATCGTAAAATGCAAAAGGAAAGTGCTATTCATTCCACTTATTAAATTCACATAATTTTAGAATGATAAATATAGAAATAAAACTAAGATTTAAGAAAATTATATGGAATTAGTATGAATATTATACTTTTATGCCGTCTAATAATAAAAATTGCATCAATGCAGTTTAAGTAATGACACTAATAAACATAGAATTTAGTTATGATTGCAATTATTGTTTGAAATCAGCCAAAATTTATCAAAGCGTTGTTGTTGTTTCTGCGATACCTACAAAGATAAATGTTTAACTCTCGAGTCGTAATAAAAGGAATGAAGCTGAGATTTGTTGCGTAACGGCTTTGATGGAAAAATTTTTCTCCATGGAGATAAACCATCAATAATTGTGTCTTTAAAAATCTGAAATTATGATTTTAGTCCCAATAATGGGCAGCCATGATAAAGTATTTTCAGTTCTTTCTGTTGTAAATAATTTTACAAAAATTAAAAAAAACTGCTGGCTCTTCCAGCATATATGCACCTGCATGAATAAGGATTTTTAAAATGGGTACCTGAAAGAAACCCGTTAGGCAGCATTTCGATCAGGGAATATTTTATCCAACAAAAATAATGTTTGAAAACGGATTAACAATGGATCATTCAATGTACTTGCCATAATTTTATCTTTATTTGCTTAAGATTTAAAAGGGGAAGTTAAAAGTTAAAGAATGAGAGACAGATGACTATTAGGAATCGAAGTGTTAGTCGATGTAAATGAAGTTTCTAAAGCTTCTTATGAAAACCTTGGCGATTGAAGAAGCAACCACCAGAAGAAGTAGCACCTTGCGAAATGTTCTGTATTAGATTGGAATGCCTAGAGCAAAAATGAAAGTTCAATGAACAGGTTATATACAACCGTGAAAGCGGTTTATGAAACCATTCATTTAAAAATGATTGTGAGGTACGCATTTAAATGTAATTTATTATAATTTTATGTTCATATGCGGAAGATAATCAAATTCTTTCTTATTTGATTTCTAATTTGATGGATATTAAAGAAGATAAAATTGGATCATAAAGTTCTGTACACATAGCTGTATTTTGGATTAAAATTATATAACCTTTATTTCTGAATATGTAACGAATGAGAACAATGTAGTTGTAGTTACGTAATAATCTTAAAGTTTAACATAGTACTATTATGTGAATCAAGGATAGTAGGCATGAAAAAGACAACTCCATTTTTAAGCTTAATTATATTTTGCATATGAAACTGTCATATAGAAATCCTCTCAGACAATGAATATCCAGCATCCATGTGTTTTTATCATTATACTTTTGTCCCTTCTAAATTATGAACTAAAGATTCTAGAATAATGAGGACGAAAATTCTACTAGAATAATGAAGACAAAAATTCTAACTCTTATCTTTTTCCGATATTTGTATGTACAATTCTTCTCGTTACTTAAAATATTTTAAGTCATCACCAGTGGTGGACCAATTAAAGACTTCTAAATACCAGCAGTTCGTTCCGATTTCGAACCCAGGCAAAGGGTTTGGCTGCATGGCTGGGTTTCGTGGTTTTCGTAGCTCATCAAGAAGGCATTCCTTTCCACTGGCAAATAACCCTTGTGGCTTTACCGTACTCAAATAATCTATTAACAAAATTTTAATTTTATAACCCTTTGAAGAACAAAACGCCCGAGGCAATCTTTCATTTAAACGATCACAACCGCGCGATACGGCCGAAATTGTGATGTTGTTTTCTTCTGTTCCTCTAAGGTCTGCAGTAGCAGCTGCAGTTTCCCTAAATGCTTTGTTTCGGTTTATTCCAGACAGCTTGTCCTAAAAGGTGGTAGAAACTTCTTTTTTTTTTGGAAGTAGAAAAGATGACACTTCAAGTGTTCACTCCTCTTTCTGCATTTGTGAGGAAACGGACATTTACATTGTATTATACATAATAGATTATAATTTAAAAAAAAAAATTCAGGATTCACGATTTTTTTTTTGTTTTTTTTTGTTTTTTTTAAAGATTTTTGAATAGATGTTAAAATTTTCCTTTATTACTAAAATTTCCATCATACAGGTATACTACTATCATCATATTGTCCTTGAAAAAGGTTTCTTTGGAAGATATAAATATATTTTCAAACGTTTGACGTAGGTATTTAGAATGAGAAAGAAATAGCAAAGAGAAATATATCCACTGATTTGCTTAATGTAATATATGTCGGCTTAATTTGATAGTACATATATATTAAGTGAAATACTCCCTCATTATGGGACACGATTAGGTGAAATGAAAGGAGAGCAATATTACAACAATTCAATTACGAAACAACTGACAAAAAATGAAGATATCCAGACTATCACCTCAGCTAATTTTAGGGAGGAAATCTAAAGTTTTTTAGGTCACGAACCTTGCAAAAATAAATTCTTCGACAATTTTCTACAACTGCACTTACCTACTTGCTTAATTTATAATACAATTAGAACGAAAAAAATATATTATCCACAGTTCTATTCAAATAAAATTTGCATCCATTGAAATAAAAATAATTTTTATAGCAGATTGCTCAGCAATGAATCTGTTATTTAAGTAAATTGGTCACTTGAGCAATATTCTGCTTCATGCAAACGGGCGGACAGTATGGTTGGTTATCGTGTTTTGCCCCATGTGTAACGTGAATACGTGTCAGTTTCTATTAGAAAATTCTCTACGAATGCATCCTTCCTCTTTGACAGATAGCCCTCCTCTGTTTTGCCTAATAAAATAATTATAACCTTTCCTGTAAACATAGTTCTCGTTATATTTGAAATTCTAGCATTACTACTTACGAAAGTGTTGTAACGTTAAAAATATTGATTTTAGATTGAAGAATATTTATTGCAAATAAAATAAAAGATCACTGTTCAAAATAACTTTTCTTGTTGGTACCTCAATAAATAAATTTAACAAATTTTAAAAATTAATTTAATTCCATTGAAGTGGTAGTTCATGAATTTATGTAGGCCACACAATATGAGCAACGTATTTTTTGCATTGACAGTAATTTTTCAACTGTGACATTTGAAAATTAAATCCTTCAAATTGTTAAACAATTGAAAATTTTAATCTAAAATTTAAAATTCATTGCTTTTATAAAGTCAAACCTTCATAACTAAGGCCATTTGGTTTATATTTTAAAACTTACTTAAGTGGCTCAAATATATGCGTATAGGTAGATAATTACAAATAAGCATCATAGTAGTTTTATGCTGTCGTAATCGTCTCTTAATAAAATAATCATAAAACAGTGCCAAAAATTAAAAAATAACTTAATTAAAATTTAAAAAATTTCCAAATAGTTACGAAACTTTTATGCAATATAGATGAAATAGGAGAATTGTATTACGATAATTACTACGTTATAAGTTAGTTAAGTTAATATGTACCGGACACATAGTTTCACTTTTA